CACTGGTATTCTTCAGAAGCTAAATTTAAATACACGCTTTGTGCTTCTGATTGGATTGGAGGCCGAGGGCAGAACTCATTTTCTTGTCAGCTCTGAACCAAACAATTGCTGGGGTATCAAAAAAGCATCTAGTAAGAACTAATGAACACAAACCTTAAGCAGCAAAGCTATTTCGCCTGCAGGCTGAGGCGAACAAATACATAAGGAAAGCAATACAGAAGAGAAGGGAATGGCTGAATTATTCTTAGTAACTACAGGCTAATGCAGCAGTCAAAGGCAACAGATTGCATATAATCTCTGGTGATAATTTTGAACACATGCTATTGCTGTGACAGCATTTCTATTTCTCCGAGTGAAAAAGGCTGCTTGGTTTTATTTTGCTAACACCCCAAGTGCGCCAGTACTTCACTTAAATCAGCATTCACTATCAATACCATAGCTTCACTGCTTCCAGTGTGCAATCTGACCCTAACTGATTGCTTGCCGTTATCTGAAATGCAGCTTTCCTGCTAGCAATTACTTTATTTACTGCTTGGTAAACCAGTAATGCCTTCCCTTGTGGGCACAAAGACAGATTAACATCAGTAATTACTAGAGCAGATGTTTGTATGTGAATACCCATTCTTAGAAGCAAATTATCTTCTGCATTGGTGTAAGGGAAAGGGACTCAATGCTGTCATCCCACAAGCGATGTGAGCAGCATGGGACTCAGCAGAGACCCGCGTAGCTCCCCCCACCTCCTCTCACAAGAATTGCTCTCTGCAGGGTGATAATCATTGACCTTATTGAGATCAGTCCTAAGGGTTGCTTGGCATTTAATTCCTAGAAGTGACTGCCAATGACTGAACAGGGCTCAGTGCCACTTGCACTTGCTTCCTGTTGGGTTTTGTTTTTTGCTTTCTGTTCCCAGGAAATCTAGGGCTGTGCTTTCAAGAGAGCTCAACACCTAGACTGAGGGCCTGTGTTTCCTAATAGCTCTGCTCCCACTGAATTGCCTGAAAGGGACACTCAGCACTAAGCGCTAAGCTTATTTAAAGTAGACAGTCATTAACTCCTTCCCGGCTACTGTGAAGATCAAAGGAAGCATGGTTGTGTCTCAGAGGGACTGGAGGCAGGGTCTTTATTAATCCAGTTGTGCTGCCAGGACTGAAATATGTTTAGAGGAGCCCTTTAGTGCTTTTGAAGTCTCTGTTGGCACATTATGTTTCTCAGCTGAAGAATCATGGAATCCCAGACTGGTTTGGGTTGGAAGGGACCTTAAAGCTCATCCAGTTCCAGCCCCCTGCCACACACAGGGACACCTTCCACTAGACCAGGTGTCCCCCACACTTTTGAAGCTGAGAGTAATATGTCGCCCTGATCTTCCTTATGCAGACAAGTCATGGCATTTCCTCTCCTGAAATGAAATGCTTCTGCATGCCAGGAGTGGACAGAGGGGGCCATGAGAATCTGAGTGTCGCTACTTCTCCCACTGTTACTGAATATAATCTTGTATGGGGTGAGTTTGTTTCCATAAGCAGAGAGCACTCTTCAACAGCACTGAGATGGCTTTGCCTTTGGTATTGAATCACTCTGAGCCCTGCCTCATAAACTGCTGACTCTCTTGCTCAAGAGGCGTTCAGCTTTTGAAAGCTCCTTTTACGCAACATCTCCCTTCTATCACCTTGTGCTAGTTACGCAGCGCAGTGGGAGGAGAAGGGGGAGCCATGCCAGCACCCCACCCTTCACTGCTATAGATTCACTTAGGGGGATACAAAGCACTGATCCCAGCATGGATTTGGCCTGCAGAGAAATTGAAACCAGATGTTTAGTGTTCAATCATGCTTTTCCCATTGTCCCTGCCTCTATCCCAGTAATTACTGTCTCTTGAGGGTCATTTAGACTTCAGCTCTGTGGAGAAACTGGTGTTCTTGATTAAAGGACTATCTGCTTTTCCAAACATCCTTGTCTAACTGTACTTTGAATGACATGTCACAGTATTCGAGAGCTGTTCTGTTAGCTACCAAGTAGAAACATCTATAATTGTTCCTTTGTTAAAAGAGAGATGAGGGGTGTCAACAGCAAGGGCAAGGAACACAGCAGCTACCTGAAGAAAGAAGTATGCCCGGTAACATGAAAAACTCACCAGGCCTGAGTGAAACTGGAACATAGACAAAAAGGAAGATGAAAATGTTGGATTTGGCACAAATGCTGTTGAACCAGCCGTGTAATAAGGCATTAAAACTGTATTTTTCTGGTTATTGCGATAGCACATAGTGTTACAGACTTCTGGGGTGTTATCGTGAGTCTCCTGCTGCTTGGTAATTACCTCAAATTCCCTTGGGTCATTTGACTGTTTGAAAATGCACCTCTGACAGAGGCAAATGGCTGCACCCTTCAGAAGGAAAAGGCAGAATTTAGTTTTATTTCATGAACCCTGGAAGAAATGAAATCCTGGCACCAAGGGAACTGAGGGTGTGAGGCCTCAGTCAGCTCTGCTTTCTGCTGTTGTATGTGTTCCGCTGAGGCAGGTGCTGCTGACCAAGGAAGAGGACAACATGACACTGCAGCTCCTTTCAGACATTTAGAAAAGCTTTCAGCCAGGTCTCCAGCTACGTCTCTTGTGTCTTGTGGGAAGGAGCAGGAATGCAGAAGGACCAAGGGAGAGAACAGGAAATTTGTATATTGATGCTTGAGCACCATCAGTGCTCAGGACCTCTAGTGCCCGGCTAGGTCACTGGGAAGAAAGGGGCAAGCTGACCTCTAAGCTGCAGATCCAGTGCGTTTCTTTGCTTGGGTTGACTGGTACCTGGGGGGGAAACTCTAAGTGGGGATCATCAGTGACCACTTGAGGGAATAACCGTGACATCACCAGGACTACCAAGAGCTGACTTCCTGCCTGCCCTTGTGAGTGTAAGCCCCACTGGACACTTTAACACCAATGAAGTGACCCAAGGAGAGCTAAGACTCTGCTTTCTTGTTTGCCCACAAGGCCAAAGCTCCCTGGATCCCAAAGGCACTGGTTTTCCCTCTCACGGTGCTCCCCTTGTGTCCTCATGGGAGGCACAGGTCCCTGCCAGTGCTGCATGGGGCTAGGGAGCATCCCCAGCAGCTGGGAGCTGGGCACTGCTCGATGGAGGCTGGAGCTGGCAGGGACAGCACAGGGCAGTGAGAAGAGACCTGGCAGATGCTTTAGAGGTGCAGTGGCTGATTTAAGCCAGAGCCAGCTGTTCATGTAGGCACAGCCTTTGCCTCTAAAGGCACTAGGTGAACTCTAACCATGAGTTTTAAACTGATCCCATCTGGATCCAAAGGCAAGTAGGGAAAAGATAAATGGAGACAGGCTCCTGCAGCCACCAGCAGCTCTGGCTCATGTCCCAGTCCCCTCTCTGGTACTTTTGGTGGTGCTTATTACTTTCCTCTAGCTGTAAAATCTACCCCAACACCGTGTCGTTGCTGAATTAAGTCAGACAACTTGTTGCCAATCCCGCAGGGATTTTTCCAGTGGTATAAGTCTGATGCTGGATATTCTAGCTCGCAGGCATTCTTTCCATCCGGCACACAAGCCCTTGCCTTTTCATCATAAGGCATGCTGCTGATATTCAGGCACAAAATGTCTCCCTTTCTCATGCTGACAACTCCACAAGGCCTTAAATCTTCCTGGAGCTATCTCCCTCATGCTATGTTAGGTCCTGTCTTTCCAAACTTAGCATTCCTGACAGGATGGGGGAGATGGGCTTGTGGTTACGAGAGGAGACTGGAGGTTAAGCAATCTGTCCGGGAAGCCACCCCTGCTGCAGATGCCCCTCTGTCATTCAGTGGAGCCAATAGCATAGATGAGGTAATGAGGATGCTGTGGAGGCAGAGATGGGAAATGACACATGGTGTTTTGTGCTGGGAGCCACATCTGTAGCTTAAAATGCTCTGTGGTTTTTGTTTTCCCTCCGCTGTAGAGGGAAATAAGTGCTGGAATAACCCATGAGGAGGCAGAGCCTGGAAAATGTCTCCAACTTCCTGGATCTGTGTGGAAAATATCTTCCTCCTTCTGAACCCCTGTGAAGAGCTGTGGGCAGCAGTGTGCAACACTGCCAGTGCAATGTCCTCCTGTCCCCTCCCCAGTGGACAGGGTACGCAGGTGTTTTTCCACAAGCAAGATGGCTTTAGGGCGTGGGCCTTGCCCAGCAGAGAGAGGTTTCTGGGGTTGCTGAAACCCTTCCTCCTCCTCACTGCTTTCCTTTCCAAAGAGAAAGCTCAGCCTAACACCCAACAAGAGGGACATGGAGCCTTTGGAGTGAGTCCAGAGGAGGCCAAGGGGATGCTCCAAGGGCTGGAGCAGCTCTGCTCTGGAGCCAGTCTGAGAGAGCTGCGCTGGGTCAGCCTGGAGAAGAGAAGGCTCCTGAAGGGGAGAGCTTAGAGCAGCTCCAGTGCCTAAAGGGGCTACAAGAAATCTGGAGAGGGGCTTTTGACAAGGGCCTGTAGGGACAGGACAAGGGGGAATGGCTTTAACCTGACAGAGGGAAGATTGAGATGAGACATTGGGAAGAAATTCTTCCCTGTGAGGGTGGTGAGGCCCTGGCACAGGGTGCCCAGAGAAGCTGTGGCTGCCCCATCCCTGGCAGTGTTCAAGGCCAGGTTGGACACAGGGGCTTGGAGCAACCTGGTCTAGTGGAAGGTGGCAGGGGTTGGAACTGGGTGAGCTTTAAGATCCCTTCCAACCCAAACCAGTCTGGGATTCTGTGATGAGAGAGAACAGATAAAGGAGAGTGGTTTCGGAGGGGAGCTCCTGGTCAGGCACCTTGCCTGGCTGCAGAGCCTGTCCCGGGGCACTCCGATCCCCTCAGGAGGCAGCCGGGCAGCTGCTACCCGCACCGGCTGAGCGCTCGCCGCCCCGGGGCCCTAGGCCGGCTTTGCCCGCCCCTGTGTTGCCGGCGGGCGGGGCGTCAGTGTGGGCGGGCCGGGGCGGTGTTTCGGGCCTAGGCCGCGGCCCGCCCCGCCCCGCCGGCTTTAAAGCAGCATCGGCCGCAGGGGTGTCTGAGTTGCGCAGCCATGGCTGGAGCTTGGGTGTGTGTTTCCCTCTTGGCTGTGGCACTGGTGTTCGCCGGCTCCGTGTGGGGCGGCGAGGACCGGCCGCGGCTGGTAGGGGCCCCGCTGGACATCGCCAACGCCGACAACGATGAGGGCCTGCAGCGGGCCCTGCAGTTCGCCATGACGGAGTACAACAGGGCCAGCAACGACATGTACTCCAGCCGGGTGGTGCGGGTCATCAGCGCCAAGAGGCAGGTGGGTGCCGGGTGGGCTTGTGAGGGGCGGCGGCAAGGGGGGCACTGGGGCCGGGGTGGGGGGGACGGAGGGAACAGCCATATCAGCCTCTGGGGAGCAGCTGGAAATGAGGCCTGTGTTGTCTGGAGCAGTGAGCAGGCCTCAAACTTGAGGGTTGTTGAAGCTGAGGTTTTCCTTCTGCAGAAGGTGAGTAAAAGCCTTCTTTTTGTTGATCTGCTGTTGAGCGCTGTGTGTAACTTGTGCTGTGGATGGGTTAACACATGACTTTGTTTACCGGCTGAGGAAGCTGCACCGTGAGACTTGTTTACTTGGATTTTGTTCCTGTTTTTGCAAGGGTGCCAAATGCCTCCTCTATGGAAGCTGCCATGTACAATTCCCTCTGTGCTTTTTGGAGTCTGGTTTCCATCATGTAACCAGAAAACTGTCTGCCTTTCTGCTAGGCTCCTCTCCTCAGAGAGCCCTTCTGCCTGTACTGCAAATAAAGCTGCCTCTGTCTGCTTGTCTTGTTGCAGATTGTGTCTGGACTCAAGTACATAATGGAGGTAGAGATTGGCCGGACAACTTGCCCGAAGCCAGCCACTGATCTCCAGAGCTGTGCTCTCCATGATGCACCACACATGGCCAAGGTAAGCTCCAGAGCTGGCCCCTGGGTTTCCAACCCCTTCCCTCCAGCTGGCTTAGTACAGAGGGGTATGGGCAATGTCCCTTGTCTGCTCCAGCCAAGATCAGGCACCTTCATACCTTTATGCTGAACAAGATCTTGCTCTTGCAGAACTTGTCTTGCCAGATGACACTGACAGAGAAGGCAGGGCCTTTTAGCTTGTTTTGTAAGTGGGGATCTTGGGCTGTGCTGCATGTGTGTGCCTCAGTACTCTCAAAAAGTGCTCAATAGTCTAGGTCATAAAGATGTGTGGAAGAAACTCTGCCAAACCTACAGGTCTCCTGCCCCTCTGGCTGGTACCTTGAGTCCCCATGCTATTCTTAGCTCCTCTTATCCCGTGGTGATGTCAACATGCATGACTTGGCACTCCTTCCTGGGGGGGGCGGCTGACATTATTGTGGATAGTGCTTTTGGCCAAGAACTGATCACAAGAGGCAGATTACCCCTCTTCTCTGTGCCCAGCAGGCTGTTACATGGGAGTCTTGTCTTATCGCAATGCTCTTAAAGAAGTACTTTAGCTTTTCGGGTGAGAGCACCAAGTATGCGCTGCCTTGATCTGGGCTGAGTCTAGCTCCTCCATAGCACGTCATTACTTCTCTTAATCACAGCAACAGGCTTAGCTTCTTTGCGTACATGCCCTTTCTGCCTGCATACAGGAGTGTAACTGCACACAAGTGATCCATTAAGCACTTAGTGGTACACACAAGCTTCTAGCTGACAACTGGAATGATTTGACACTTGCACGTACAGATTAGCTGTGCAGGTTGTGATTACCTGTGCCTGAGAGTTTATGGTGGAGTATTAGCCATGCTGAAAGCTGGATGAATGGGTAAAGGAGGCAGCCTGATCTTCAGAAGTGCTGACTTTTCAGCTTCTCTGTTAGTGTTTTCTTGAGAGAAATGATTAATCCCGAGTAGGTTCTAACAGGAGTGGTATTCCAGAGTACTTGTCAGGAGAATGCAAATCTAGAGAGCCATGGAAATGGCATACATTCTGGATCACGTGGGGTGGTAAATGGCTGTAACAGCATAAAACTGTGTTACCAACCATTGCTGTAATCTTTTAATTGCTTTTCTTTCTTCTTTCTCTCCTTAGCGCACCACTTGCAACTTCGTAGTGTACACTGTTCCTTGGCTAAACCAAATCAAACTATTGGACAGCAGCTGCCAATAAACCTGTCTTGTTCCAGCAGAGACCAGCAACCAGTTGCTCAGACTTAAACAAAATAAAGGCAATAACACAAATTGAGATGGGATTTATCAATGCCTGTTAACACAGCTACTTACGTATGCTTGTGCTATGCAAGTTAAACTAGGTAACTTTCCTTTAAAGCACAGTATGATCTCAACTCTTTGTAATTACATTTTAGAGCAGCTGTTTTGGTCTTTATCCAGCTTTCCTAATGAAGTAATTCCAACATCAGAATTCTGATTAAAAAAGCCCCTTGGTACCCCTGTTAGAGTGACTACTGTAAACATAAAAAAAATAATTCATAATTGCTGTGATGTGTGGTTTTGTTTGAGCTTTTGCTGGGTGGGAGGGAGGGTTTGCTTGTATTTGTGATCCAGTCTATAATGCCCAAAGAATGGGGTGTGAAGGAATGTGGGGCCCTAGACACAAGGGAGGTAAACTGTCCCTCTTTGTTCCCTAAACCTGGCCTTTGGTTTTGGAGGAGGAAATTCTTAGTTGTTTTCACTGGAGAAACTCTGCTTTTGAAAACGCTACAGTGTGGAGCTCCTGATCTTGGGCAGGTAAGCCAAAGCTTGTACAGAGGCTGTGATTATTTCAGGTGCTTGAGGTACCATTAGGGGATGCCTCTTGTTTTGCAGAGTTCTAATAGTCCATTTCTTGTGTCTTTGTTTTTCTGTGTTTTGAAGTAACCATACCCCTTCTGGCAAATCTCACCCAGGGATAAATTGGTTCCAATGTTCTGTCATGCCCTATGTTAACCCTAAAATCCAGGAGTCCTATGCCTGGGCCTGGTGGTCCTGTTTTGAAAGGAAGGTGGAAGGGGTGCTGAGAAGAGTTGCAGAAGTGATCTGATGGTAGAAAAGGCAGCTTGAGGTGAGAAGTGCAAGGATGCTGTTATTTGCCTAAAAAATGGTACTTATATGTGAGAGCTAACACAACCACACCTGTGAGTCTTGGAGGATGGGGCTTGGGTCTAATGGAGAGCAGAATAAGAGAACCACCAGAAACCAAACGTCTAGTGAGACATACAGCTCCTTCAGAGTGCATCTTCTGTGGGTTGTGCTTTCTTTCAAGGGAAATACCAGTTCCCATCATTAACAAGTTTTGTGAGCTTGCAGTGAGCACAAGGCCAGATCTTGATTTGAGCAGTCGGGGATGAGGTGGTTGCCTGACACAAAGATCTCCATCTAGGATGTGCTCTGATCTGATAAGAATTGGTCCCCATGCTTCCCCCCCCCACCATCATTGCCCATTCCCTCTGAGTGCTGTGCACAGTTATGTCCTGTTTCTCTTGCCCGTCAGGTCAGTGACTGCAGGTGTCTGCCTGATGTGCTGTTGCATCAGTAACCCTGCTGATCCAGGAAATCCTAATGTCAAGCTACTTGGGTGCCCTCACTTGTCATTTTTCTAACAACTCCATTCTTACATGCTTATTTCCCATTTTTAGGTCTATTACAACACTGGAATGCGGTGAAGGGGCTCCATCATACTTCTGCATTTCCCTTTTAGCATCTTGGGTTGAGGCCTGTATGGGAGATTGTACTTGGAAAGGAGGCTAGGCAGGAAATCAGGATGCAGATGGTTGTAACCAAGATTTTCTACCAGTTCAGCTCTGTTAGCCAGCAGCTGTGAACAGCGTGTGGGGAAAAGGAGTGGCTGTGCCAGAGAAAGTGAGTTTGAGTGTCATGAGCTCCTGAAATTCAAAGATCCTGTGTTCTCATGTTGAAATGCCAATGACTAAGGGCATGAAGGAATGGCACAGATTACCCCATCCTCACAAGCTGCTGAGTATCAGCTTTGGTGATTATCCCTATGTGTTCTCCACTCAGACCAAATGCCAAAAAAGCCTGACCTAATAGAAGCACCTTCCACTGTGGGCTGTGCTACGTTGTGTTAGCAACAGGCTCAGGGCATTAGTGGGAGTTCGCCTGCCAAGAGTATTTTGCTTGGCAGGTCCTTCTCCTTGGCTGGCTGGTAGTAGCTTGCTCAGCTGAACACTGAGCCCTCATTTTTCACTGCCTGACTTCTTCAAATGTTGGTGACGGATGTGAACAAATGACCAAGGCAGTGCTTATTTCATGCTGTCGGTTGTTATGCTTTGCTTGCACTTGATGGATGGATGGATTCTAGGGTTGTGCTTCCTTAAACGTAGGTGGGGTCAGAGCTGTGCTGTACTGACATGGACTTGCAGCTCCCACCTCTGCCAAGACAGCTGGGAAAGTCATAAATTGGATGTCCTTTCTTGGGAATATCTATGGAAGAACTCCATCTCCTCTTCAAATTATTTGAGGGGGATCCATGTTTGACGTCTCCTCAAACACTCGCCCCCTCTGTGTGAACAGCCCTTGATAAAGTGGTTGTAAAATTGACCAGTCAAGATGCTCATAGGCAAAAAAAGGACCACCCTATTAGCCTCTTCATTTTTAATTCTTCTTTTCATCCCTATGGAATGGGTATTTTTGTCACATAATTTTGGAAAAACAGTTACAACAGCCATTGAAATGATAGCTATGGTCATCCAGAAAGGAAGAGAGCGGTTATTGACTTTAGGTGGTGTTGAACCTAATATTATCTGCCTCTTGATACAAAACAACTAGCCTTTTTAACTCACCTGGCTTTTGCTTTTCAGTGTGCTCTAGCAGATTTTACAGGGCAAATTAGCATTCATTTCTCAGGACACAAAATTGTGCAATCCCTACATTCTCTTCTGCTTTTGCCTGCTTCACAATTAATTATTACGCCAATAACCGAGGCCCTCACAGTATTCACTGATGGATCTGGCAAGAAAGGCTGAGCAGTAACAGTTTGGAAAGATGCTGAAGGACACGGGAGCAATGATATGCACATTGTCACAGGATCACCTCAGGAAGCAGAACTCTGCTGGAGTCCATGCTTTTAAATTATGGACTACTCCAATCAACATTATCACAGATTCCACCTAAATGGAAGGCCTTGTTTCTAGGCTAGAACACGCTTTTCTGAAGGAGATTTCCAATAGGACATTATTTGCCCTTCTCTGGGAGCTCAAGTGGCTCCTGGATTGCTGGGTACACCCATACTTTATACAGCATATAGGTTCACATACTTTGCTACCTCGACCTATAAGCGAGGGAAATACACAGGCTGATGGGCTTGCAGGTCTTATGGTCTTACCTGACCGTTTTGCACGTGCTGGCTTATCCCATGAATTTTATCATCAAAATGCAAAAGCTCTGCAACATGCTTTTCAGCTGACTCAGGACCAGGCAGGGCAAATCATGCACTTGTGTCCTGATTGTCAACAAGTTCTACCCACGTCAATGATGGGAACTAATTCTTGCGGTCTTTTGTCCCTTGAAATTGGGCAGACAGATGTTGCTCACGTACCAGAATTGGGCAAATGCAAACATGTCCATGTTTCTGTTGACACTTTTTCACCTTGTATTTAAGGATCGGTACATTCAGGTGAAAAGGCCAGAGATGTTTGTGGACATTTTATTACAGCTTTTTCTACCCTGGCAGTTCCAGAACCCATAAAACTGATAATGGCCCAGGTTATCCAGCACACAAAACACAAGCATTTCTTCAACAGTGGGGAATTCAGCATGTCACAGGTATTCCACATTCTCCCACAGGCCAAGCCATTATTGAATGCACACATAGCACCCTTAAAACTATGTTGCAGAAACAAAAAAGGGGGAGTTCAGGGTTAACCCCTCAAGAACGTATAGTGAAAGTTTGTTATGTTTTAATTGTTTAACTCGCTGGACAGAGGATGGACCTCCTACACAGCACCATTTTGGGGGTTCAAAGTATTTAGAACAGGGGAAAGCTCATGTTAAAGTATGTAATCTTGAAACTCATGAATGGGAAGGCCCGTTCCCTTTAATAACCTGGGGACGAGGGTATGCTTGTGTTTCCACAGATAAAGGACCCCGTTGGGTCCCTGCATGATGGGTTTGTCCTGCCTTGCCTTCTGTCTCTTCATCACAAGAGGAACGACCCTACCGTGGTTTCTCACCTAGCCAAAAGAGAGCATCTATAACCAATGCGACAGGACCAGACACCATGTGCCTGTTGGTTGCCACACCTATGAGTCCTTTCAGACTGCTGTTGGAAGCAATGGCAGCCTCAAATCCTGAGGACACGTGGGATGCTTGGGGGGTATAACAACACAGCCGCAAGTAATTGATGTGTTAAGATCTGTAAAAACGGGTATGTATCTATGTTTTCATTCTATAGTTTGAAACCAATTGTTAGTGCAGAATGGTAACTTCCATAACTGTTTATTTGCTAGGCTAGGAGCACGAGTGAAAAAATTGTATTAAGAATGTTTGTTTTCTTAGTTTTTATTAGCTTATGTGGTTTAATCGAGCACTTAAGCAGGTGTTGACAGGGAATATACAAAACAAAGAAGGGGGAGCTGTGGGGAGTGAAGGCGCTAAGATTTGCATGAAGAAGAGTTTGGGAATGAGCTCTGAGGCCTTGGTGCTTTGGTTGCGATGAGTTGGGGCATGTAAGGCCAGAGAATGTGGGGGTTGTGAGAGCATCTGCAACACTGTGATTGGACTATTTAACTGGTGAGTTTCAGAGGGGCCAATGAGATTGAACATTGTATGTATGTGCAGGTCGGGAAAGGGCCGAACAAGTGGATAAAAAAGGCTTGGTGGTAATAAAGGAGGACTTGAGTCTCCGCATCAACTTGAGTCCATGTCGTGAAATGCCACACCACGTGGCTTTGGCAGACAAGTGGTTTCCGCTTACTCTGAGCTCCCAGGGCTGGAGGGCTGCAGGGCTTCAGGGCACCTGGTCTGCTGCAGCCATAGGGCACAGCCTGTGCCAGCACTGACCAAGGCTTCTGAAGCTGCTCCTCAAGCTGGGGGAAACACGGCCACGTGCAAGGGATCAGTCATGGAATCACAGAATCACAGCGTGCCCGGGCTCAGGTCACTGCGGCGAGCAGGCTACGCCGGGCATCCTGGTGGATGCTGCTGCCCAAGCCAAGCGTTTTGGTCCCTTCTGTCTCTTTCTCCCAGTGAGAACCTTGGTCCCCATC